GTTCCCTTATCGTTTCATGGTGTCAATTGTTTGTAATCTGTGAACTAAAAAAAGACGTTAAAATAATTGTTTATTATTCTTTTTTTTGTTGATTGTAGATAAACATGTATAATAATGAAGAATACTCTTCACTTTTCTTTTTGGTTTAAAACTAATCATAAAAAACAATTGAATCATCTTAAATACATTTGAATACACTTGAGCTAAAGTTGTAACTACGTCGTAATGATTACCATTCTATCTGAATTTTCTTTTTAGAAATAAAACGACTTGTTTATGAAACGGTTTTCTTCATCAATCAGACAATTTTGACTAATGATTAACTTAATTTTGACGATAAGATGTGCCTCAGTGTAGATAAAGTGAAGAGAAAACTTAGAGTCACCCATATCACGAATATCACATGAATATTTTTCTAATTCAAGAGTTAAAATTGATATAAATACTAAATATCAAGTTCTTAAAATAGGAAAAACTATTTGAAAAAGAAAAATCTTTATAGATTTCTTTTAATGATTTTCGTTTGATTTCATAGTGTTCATCAACAATAGATTCATCTCCAGCTCGTTATGATTTATTTGATATTATAGATTCTCGTGCAAGTCCGTGATTTGAACAATAACATTTTATGCAAGATTTTTACCTGATAAAGGTTCCGCTAAAACTGGAAGCTAACAAAAGAAATTTTTCTTGATATTTGATTATTTGTTTTTTTCCATTGATTGAGAAAATTTTGATAATGTGAACATACATCATTATTATCATATGATAAAAATCTTGCTCGATTCTAGAATTATGTTCCTTCTATATCGTCATGGCCATTGATCAATTCATCTTGTTATTGATGAACAAAATACCATACCAATATCAGTGGAAGCATTCTCTATGGAAGATGTATAGAATCTTCTCTAGTTGAACAACATGTTGTGTTGCTCTTTGTTTTTACAAGAGCATTTCATGTGTGTGTTATTTCTTCTGTTGTTTTTTAATTATTTTCATGCAAATCAATAATAACTAAAGAAACGGTTTTAAGATCGAAATAAAATTATTTTACGTCATATATTAATCTGTTTAGAGATGTAAGACTTGAAAGGTGAGAAGAAAATATGAATGTTGAGGATGCACCAGATTTAGAATAAAGAAAGATGAATGCTTGTATTTAATTTATATAAAAGAGAATTTTTTGTCTAGAATCGACCATTAGCGATATTCTACAGTAAAAATATTCAGATTTCATGTTTTGAATAACACTATTGGAATATTTCGGTCATAAGAGGACTGAAAAAACTAAAAGAACATAATGTTTTTCCGGTGCAAACGTTAACTCCCTTAAGAAGTCTTTTCACTGAATTCATGATCTCTTTTCCACAACGTTGATATGTCACGGATTTTAATCAACATATATAGGTTATTCCATTTATTTCGAAACGATTTGTATGCAGTTTCTTTTCAATTGTAACTGACACAGATCTCATCATTTTCATATCAGTTTATATCCCAAGCACTGTACATGCTGTCATGATATTTATTTTTTAGATAAACGAACGCCTTGTAGTAAATTATCTGATAATTTTAAAGATATCAAAAAGTGCGATAACTTGTATTGCTAATAAAGTTGGAAAACAGCACCAATTTTGATTATTACACAATCAAAAGCAAAAATTTTATCATCGTCATGTAGCAACACCTGCAGTTGTTCGTTCTATTACATCGTACATTAATAAAGAAAATCCCCCAACAATTTCCTTAATGGTTGGAAGGTGTCATATTAGTGTTGGTACTACTTTTCGTATTATTCGTAATGTTATTCATGTAAAAAGACCAGTACATCGGTTATATCAAGCATCTATTGAGAAGACATCTACTAGTTCGATCAGTTTTCGAAAATGAAGCTTAAAGAAGTATAATTTAAAAAAAAATTGTTGACGCAAATCCTATGCAATTGAAATATGAAACACGATGCAGCTGCTATAATTATAAACGACGAAACTAAAAAAATGTCAATTGTAATATATCTCAATGAGCATGACAGAAGATCAAAAATCAGGTATCCTAAATTCCAATTGTATTTAGTCTTTGAGCAGCGAGCGGCAACACTAAGAAATTTGTTATGATCTATGAGAATTTAAATATTTGTTCTGATATGTTAACACACAAAATTTTTGCAGTTGTTGTAAATCGTTGTTAATGAATCAAGTGAAGCAGAGGTTTCTAAGGCAATGATATATGCTTTTCTTTCATATTAACATGGCTTATGAAGCGCGTACTTTTCTTAACTATGAAAATTCAATAAAACTACCATCATCTGAGTATATAAAATAATATTCTTTTTTAAATATTTGATTCATTTATTCTAAATTTATATTTAGAGATCTTACTATTGATTATAGTGATGTTAAATTAAATTTAAAATTACTTAATAAATATTTTGAAGTAAATACACTTGATGAAATACTTGTACGTCGTCGAAATGAATTTAAAACACGTACAGAACATTTACAAAAACGTAAAGAAGCGTTAAATGAAAGAGAAATTATGTTTAAAGAAAGAATAATTAGGTTAAAAAAAGGAAACGTTATTTTTCTTTTATCTATTTTAACAATAGTATTGTTTTATTTAGTTATGAAATGTATATTAAAGTAAGAATAAAAATTAAATTATTATTATTTGATAGGAAATTTTATACAATATCAAGGAATTATCAATGAAACGTGATCGATCATTACGTCGAATTGATGATGAAAAAAATTTAATTCAAAATAAACAAATTGAAATTGATTTATTTAATCAAGAAATTCAACAAATACAAAATGAAAATAAAAAATTAGAAAATATTATTCTTCAATATCAACCTCATTTAAATCTTCTGACACAAGTTAATTTACCAAGGATCCTGTCGGATAAGATGATCATTTTTCATTTGTATTCTCTAGTAGAACAACAATCCATACTTTAGCCAAGAGATATTACAGCAATTGTAGTTTACATGACCAAACACTAGGAGTGAGCATATCTCCAAACGAACCTATATCAAATTTTATTGAAAATTACTTCAATAGAATTGTGTATATCTAATAAAACTCACAATAGCTATTTTTTGTATGTAAAGTCTTCGCATTTTTCCTAGCTTCTAAGAGCAAAGATGATCGACTGTTGAACTTTTTCAGAAATTGTTGAGCTTCATGATCAAATCGGTCAATATGTCGATTCCTAAGGATAGAAAAGTATATGAACTTTTCGATAAATACTTTTTGAGTGAAGAAACTTTTATCTATTAGTAATAAATTTGTCACATCCTATCATTTGACATGTGTGGATCTTTCGAAAATGACAAAAAGAGATTTTTGCTTTCAGAACCTTAAAGAAGGGTACGAAGATATACAAAAGTTTTAATTCTCAAAGAAGATCGAACAAACATTGAACTTCATACACTAATCATACCCCGCTATTTAGAATCTAAATTTATAAGGAAAAAAATAAAAAACAATCTTTCTAATAGTCCATTCCAGTACTCCTTTCAGAGACCTGAAAGCGAAAAATCTTATCGCCATTTTCAAAAGATCTATATATGTGAAATGATAGAACATGATGAACTTATTATAAATAAATAGAAACTTTCCCACTCAAAAATTATTGATCGCAAAGCTCATATACTTTTCTGTTCTTAGGAATCGACTTTTGAAGACAAGGTAACTCCTAGTATTAGATCGCATCAAATACAAATTGCTATTAATATCATTTAACTGATTTATTGCCTCTGACGAGGGAACCATCCGAGGTGTCAAAAAGCTTTTCAGTCAGGGATATGATGGTTAGATAGGGCATAGCTAGGAGTGATATACCCTAAGTTAGTTCGGACCCAAGTTGCTTCTAGCAGGAGTTATAAAATGTGAAATTTAGGTATAAAAATGAATCAGGGAAGGTCTACTCCACTATTGTAAGGACA